TCCTTTCATGCATTTCATTTATGGCATCCTTTCATGCCTTAATGCATCTTTTCATGCATTTCATTTATTACATCATTTCATGTCTTAATGCATCCTTTCATGCATTTCTTTTATGGCATCCTTTCATGCCTTAATGCATCCTTTCATGCATTTCATTTATGGCATCCTTTCATGCCTTAATGCATCATTTCATTCATTTCAATTATGGTATCCTTTCATGCCTTAATGTATCCTTTCATGCATTTCATTTATGGCATATGTTCATGCCTCAATGCATCCTTTCATGCATTTCATTTATGGCATCCGTTCATGCCTTAATGCATCATTTCATGCATTTCATTTATGGCATCCATTCATGCCTTAATGCATCCTTTCATGTCTTAATGCATCCTTTCATGCATTTCATTTATAGAATCATTTCATGCCTTAATGTATCCTTTCATGCATTTCATTTATGGCATCCTTTCATGCATTTCATTTATGGATTTGTTTTAGAGCAGTTCATACTCAAAAACTCATTCATAATATCCTTTCCATACATATAATGATAACATATTGATTACTATAAAACATAAATTAACTTAAAACATTCTAATTTGAATCATTGCAAATCTTATTCATCTCAAATAATTACAATAAATGTTCTCACCTGGCTTGCCTCGTGATTATATCCAAAACGCAAATCTGATTACTCAGCTACTTTGCTTTTCCCTTTTATTTTATTTGACTCAGGAGTTTGATTTCGATCTTCTCAAGCATCCATTAAAGATACGTACAATATCAAATATTAGTGTATTTCCTAACATTTATACTTGAATAATATTCACAAGTACTATTATTTACATTTCTATAACAATTTCAACATATCTTATAGTTCCAGACTCTATTTTAGTATCGATATGACATTCTGTTATCCATGTTATCGATAATTTCCTTTGTAGTATCGATACCCCATCAGTATCGATACCACTTGCATCGGTATCAATATTGTTTGTCATATTTCTACCCATTTAAGCCTATAGTATCGTATCTGTGTTCTTCTATACCCTTTACCCAGATCCATTTTTCATTTTCGCCCGATTTTTACCCAAATTGGTCAAATTTCCTTAGGTTACACCCAATAATACTATTAACTCTTCTTACTTATCCTTACTAATTTTCCTTCATTTAGCTTCCTAAAACATCTAAAATCTCCCAAGAACATTTCAATCTAAGAATCATACCACTTTTTCTAACATGTTTTTACTCATATCTAAAGCTTCTAATCTCTTATTTACTTTTTTGACAAGTCAAATATACTAATAAACATCATTAAAAGCTCATATTCCAACATATCCTTCAAAACCCCATTTTCTATAATCTCTAATAACTCATATATCTCCTAGTTTTAACCTCATTTAACCATTCCTTAAGCTTACATATCACTTAAGGATATAATAACAAACCATAATCGAAGGGAAAAAATAATTAAATGAGATTTACCTTTTGCAACGAAGAAGAGTACTTCCCACGAGAAGAAGAAGATGAGTAATTAACTTCCATTTCCTCTTTTCCCCTATTAAATCCCTAATAAGAATATGTATTTTAAATTCATTTTATTCCAAATGACCAAAATTCCCTTTTAATCATCCATTGTTACAATTTAGTCTAAACCATTATTCCAAATCATTTCTCATCTTTTATCATTTAATCAATTCAAAAACCCCCAATTTTTCAAAATAAAAGTCATAACTGTTTTTAAAATAATTATTAAATTGTTTTTTAAAAAAATGGTTATGGCAATAATTATTTATAGTACTATAATAAGGATTGATTCAAATTTTTCGTCTTTCTCTAACCATACATGCATACATGCATACATGCATACATGCATACATGCATACATGCATACATATATTTAATATTCTTTTCACATTATAGTGTTGTAATCTATCAAATATAATCTAAAATTATAAAATCTATTCACAATATTATATTTTTTATTTTGATGGTAAAATATATTCACAATGTCTACTTTATAAATTTTGAATAATTGTGATTTATGTTGAGAATTATCTAGCTTATTTAAAATTAGTTCAACTTGTTATTTTACATTTAGTTAATAGTTTGTTAGCTTTGTAGTTTATAAGTTTGTATATAAGTGTTTGTACAGATAAATAATGAGATATTTAGAATGAAGTATTTCCTAAAAACGTTTTTAACATGGTATCATGAGTTAGGGATTATCTTTAGGCTTTTTGGGCTTGTTGTGACCCATTTTCCATGTTTCGTTTTTCTCTCTTTATTTCCTCTCGTCACCGACGATGGCAAACACCGTAGATTTCAATCACCTTTTATACCTTCACCCTTCTGACACTCTTGGCCCGCCTCTCATCTCTCATCTCTGATCTCTGATCTCTGGTGTAGGATCTCTTGATTCGAGGGGATTGTTTGCTACTCCAACTTTCACCCAAGAACAGTATATACAGATCCTAAGTCTTTTGAACAAGGCACCATTGGTTGGTTCACGTTCCAGTTCACCAGCTATGGTTACTAAAAATGTGCTTCCTTCTCATGATTCTCTTGTGTGGATTCTTGACACAGGCGCTGCTGATCACATGTTGTTTGATTTTTAGCATTTGATCTCTCATGCTTAATGTGCTTCAGAATCTAGAATGGTTACTCTGCCCAAATGGTAAAACAACTCACATCACCCATACTGGTTCTTACCAGTTTAACCATGATATTGTTTTTTCGAATGTCCTCTTTGTACCCCATTTTACCCATAATCTACCTTCCTTTTCAAAATTAACTCGATAGTTTAATTATCGCATTATTTTTTACCCCGATCATTGTATTTTGTAGGATCTCTCAAATAGAACTATGAGGGGATTGGTAATGAGTCACATGGGTTATATGTTTTTTTCATTCTTCGAGATTTGATTCTGGTTTATTTTCCTCTATTTAATGCAATTTTGTTCCTTCATTTTCTTCACAATCTAGTGCTAAACATGTGTTGTCTAGTGATTGTGTTCCTTTTTCCTTTTTTTAAACTGTTTAATTGGTTAATGACAAGATTCAAGCTTGCTCAATGTGTCCTTTGGCTAGACAATCTCAATTGCCTTTTCCTCTTATCACTACTTGGTCTGTTGAACCATTTCAGTTGATACACTTGGATTTATGGGAATCCTATGAAACTTCTACTCATAGTGGCCATAGGTTTTTTTACCATAATTGATGATCATTCTCGAATGTGTTGGGTGTATTTGCTTCGATTAAAGAGTCATGTTGTGCTATTCCTTAAAGAATTCCTTTCGTATGTTCAAAATCAATTTTCAACGACTGTCAAATATATTCGAAGTAATAATGAGTCTGAGTTTTGTAACTCATTGTGTTTTCCTCTTTTTTCATCTCTTGGTATTGTTAATCAAAGCTACTGTGTGTGCACTCCTCAACAGAAATGAGTTGCTACAAGAAAATAAAAACATATTCTTAAAGTCCCCGTGCTCTTAGGTTTCATTCAAACGTTCCTGTCAAATTTTGAGGAGAGTATGTGCAGACTGCTTGTTATATTATAAATAGACTTCCTTCTTCGGTTTTAAATTGGCAAAGTCCTTTTGAGGTTTTTTTTTTTTATCATAAACCACTTGACCTGTCCCATTTTAAGATATTCGGGTGCCTTTGTTATGCAACTAACCTTTAAATGTTCAGATAATTTTTTTCTAGAGCAGTACATGTGGTATTCATAGGACATTCTTCTACAAAAAAGCGTTATATTTTGTTTCATTTCGAGGATAAAGTCTTCTTTGTTAGTAGGGATGTTAAATTTCTTGAGCATGTGTTTCCATTTCATATGCCACTTCAAAAATCGTCTTGTTTTTTCCCTTTACAACCATTGTCCTCTAATTCTGAATTCTTGGTTTCTTGTCCATCTCCTCAACATTTTTCACCTACAACAAATTATTCATCTTCTTCTCATTCCCTTGATAATATCTTGGCTTCAAGTTCTTCACAAGTTTCTCTTTACTCCAGCAAGTACACCTGATTCCAGTCCACCTGAGTTAGTCACTAGTGATCATGGTTCAAATCAACCCTTGGTCGTTGACAATGTTCCTAGAAAATTCTCTCGTCCATCTACACATCCTAATTGGCTTAATGATTATGTGCACTCTTATCAATCTTTTTCCGATCGATGTGAGTATCCTATTTCTAATTTTGTTTCATATTCTCATTTACCATATGACACTCAAGCCTTTTTTTTTGGATAATTGACACTCAAGCCTTTGTTTTCGCTACTGCGACTGCTTCTAAACCTACAAATTTTCATGAGGTCATCCAAAATATGCTCTAAGTTAGTCCATGAAAGAAGTGTTATGAACTGAGGAGAATAGAGAAGGAAAAATCGAAGGAATAAAGGTTTTAGAAGAAGAAAAGCAGAGAGATTTCAGAAATCAGAATTTCATTCATTCATCAGGTATCTTTCTCATTCCTTAGTACACAGTTTTTATTTGATTACAATGTACTATAGCAAATAAGAAGAAGACAGTTGTATAACTAATTCTCTAACAATCTCCTTGCAGCTGGATATTTTCCTCCTTTGGGTTGTTAACTAGATCCACGTCTGAGCCCATCTCTTCTGCCCAACTCTTCTTCTGCTGCCACTCCAGGTAATTTCCTTCAGCCCTCTCATTAGAGATTGAAATCCCTAATTCCCTTATCTCTTTTCTCTCAATCCCTAATTCCTCGTCCATTTCCCCCCAATTCCCTCGCTTCAATTCTAATCTCCTCATCCTGATCTTCTCTTGCAATCGTGACAATACCCCCTCTATCAGCAGATCCTTGTCCCCAAGGATCAAATTTAGGAAATTGGGCACGCAAGACTGTATAATCTTCCCAGTTATCGTTTTCAGCACTTAAATTCGTCCAACGAACCAATAATTGAGTAACAGCACGGTTATCTCGTTTGACAATTCGTTTGCTTAAAATTTTCTCAGGAAATACTTTCAGAGTTCCATCATCTATTACCTGAGGAGGGTCTGCTGAAGCCACTGTCTTCTCTCCCAGTTTCCGCTTCAAGAGATTGACATGGAAAACAGGGTGTATTTGAGCAGTTTCTGGTAAGTCCAATTTATAAGCAACCTCACCAATCTTTTCGAGAATTTTGTAAGGGCCATAAAAACGGGCTTCTAACTTCAAGTTTTTTCTGATTGCCAGGGAAGTCTGCCGATATGGTTGCAGTTTCAGGTACACTTCTTCTCCCACATCAAATGTTCTTTCACTACGATTTTTATCAGCTTGCTGTTTCATACGGTTCTGTGCTTGCTGTAACTGGTCTCTAACAATTTGCCTGATCTGCTCTCTGTCTTGTAATAATGTCTGAACAGTGTTGACATTAGATTCAGAACACCATAACATTGTAGGAGGTTTATATCCATAGAGTGCCTCAAAAGGGGTAATTTTAAGTGTTGTATGATAGTTTGTATTGTACCACCATTCAGCATGAGGTAACCATCTTGCCCATTGAGTAGGTTTTAGGAAACACAAACCCCTTAAGTACTGCTCAAGACATTGATTCACTCTCTCAGTTTGACTATCCGTCTCAGGATGGTAAGTTGTGCTAAAGAGTGTGCTGGTTCCCAACTGCTTCATTAGTTCTTTCCAAAAAAGATTAGTGAAGGTCTTGTCACGATCTGAAATAGCCATCTTAGGCTGACCATGAAGCTTATAAACTTGATCTAAATATAATTTAGCTACTTCCATCACAGTGTAGGGATGAGAAAGTGCTAAAAAATGAGCATATTTAGTCAGTTTATCCACTACTGCTAAAATGCAATTCTTATGCAAAGAATTAGGTAAACCTCCAATAAAATCCATAGTTATCACCTCCCATGCTTGTTTAGGAATTGGTTGTAGCAGCCCAGGTTTAGCCACATGCTCCACCTTAGTGCGTTGGCAGACTTCACATTTCTGTACATAATTAGAGACCATGCTTTTAAGTTTAGGCCAACAAAAATAAGATTTCACCTGCTAGTATGTAGCCTGAATACCCGAATGCCTTCCATGAGAAGAATCATGTAAAATCTGTAGTATCTTCAATCGTAAATCACCGGACTGTCCCACATAAACTCTATTTTTGTAACGCAACACCCCTTTTGAATACTTCCAATTTGGAACACTAGCAGTGTTAATAGTTACTGCTTGAATGTAGTCTTTAGCATCATCATCATTTTCATAGCTTTGTTCAATGTCCTTAACCCAAGTCGGAATTATAATCATGGCACCCATCTTTTGACACTCACCGACCTGCACAAATTGTCTTGACAAAGCATCAGCCACAACATTAGTACGCCCTTTTCTATATTGAATTGTGTAGTCCAAACCCAACAATTTAGTCAATCCTTTCTTCTAAATTGTTGTCGTGAGTTTCTGCTCTAACAAATACTTTAAAGGCTCGTGGTCTGTTTTAATGATAAACGGACCACACTCAAGATAATGTCACCATTTCGAAACTATCAAAAGAATAGCCAAATATTCATTCTCATAGATAGAAAGGTCCATGTTTTTAGGGCTTAAAGCTTTGCTAAGGTAGGCCAAAGAACGACCTCCTTGGGATAAAACAGCCCCAATACCTTCTGAGCTTGCATCAGTTTCTAAACAAAATTCTTTAGTGAAATTAGGAAGAGCCAAAACTGGAGCCTTACACATTACTTCCTTCAATTGATTAAAGGTTGTCAATGCTGTAGGAGTCCATGTAAAACCTTCCTTTTTTAACATTATTGTAAGTGGTCGACTAATTACACCATAGCCTTTGATGAACCTTCTATAATAGTCTGTTAGCCCCAAAAATCCCCGAAGAGATTTTAAGTTTTAAGGAATTGGCCAATTTTTCATGGCTGCAATTTTTTATGGATCAGTGGAAACCCCTTGAGCATTAATATTATGGCCTAAATATTCCACTTGTAGTTGGCCAAAGTAACATTTACTCCTCTTAGCATATAGTTGATGTTGTGTCAATATTTCCAAAACTTTTCTCAAGTGTAGTGCATGAGCAGACAATGTAGTGCTGTACACTAATATATCATCAAAAAATACCAGAACAAACTTTCTCAAACAGGGAGTGAACAGATCATTCATAAGAGATTGAAATGTAGCAGGTGCATTAGTAAGACCAAAGGGCATTACCTTGAATTCAAAATGTCCATGATGAGTGCGAAAGGCAATTTTGTAGATGTCTGTAGGTTGAATTCGAATATGCCAGTACCAGACCTTAAGTCCAACTTAGAAAAATAGGCTGCTCCAGGTAATTCATCTAATAGTCCTCCACCACTAGAATTGGAAACTTATTTTTTATTGTCTGGTTTAATTGTCTATAATCGACGCAAAATCTCCAAGAATCATCCTTTTTCTTAACAAGTAAGCAAGGTGAGGCAAAAGGGCTCTTGCTTGCTTGAATGACAGAAGCTGCTAGCATATCAGAAATTTGTCTTTTCACCTCTGCTTTTTGATGATGTGGAAATCTGTAAGGCCGTAAATTGACCGGGGCTGCACCCGGTTTAAGTGTAATTGAATGGTCATGTACTCGTTTAGGAGGTAATCCTTTAGGTTCGTCAAAAACTCCTGCAAATTCTGCTAATAATGGTTGTAGCTCATGAGGTACCTGCTGCTCATCAGTTTCCATAGTTAGGAAATAAATTTCTCCCAATAAATCTGGATCCTTGGCAGTAATCTTTTGCATTTTGTCATTAGAAATTATTTTCATAAGGAATGGTGCTTGATGTCCTTGAATAGATAGTTGTTGTCCCTCCTTCTCAAAAGTAATAGTCATGGCATTAAAATCCATAAGGATTGGACTATATTTGCACATCCAATCAACTCCAAGAACCATATCACTGCCTCCTAGATTAAGTACCCGAAAATCATGAAAAAACTGATGGCCTTGCATAATCCAACATAACTGATTGCTCCTAGCTGAACTGAATAATTTCCATCCATTAGCAACTGTAATGGGTAGTGGTTGAGTTGAAACTAACTCAGTACCAGCTTTAGCCCACTTAGGAGTGATAAAGCTGTATGATGCCACAGTCAATAAGAATATTAAGAGGTTTGCCCTTGACCAAGCCTTGAATTCTAATTGTAGTATATTCAATGCTACCTGTGAGAGCATTGACTGAAATTTCCAGATTATCATCTTTATCATTTGAATCTCCCAAAACTTCATCTGTTATGACTGTGTCTTCCTGGTTATCCAATTCCTCCATAGCATTCAATTGTCTTTACTTGCATTGGTGGACTGGTTGAAATCGTTCACCACATTTGTAACACAAATTATTTAATCTGCGATACTCCAACAAATTGTTCTTGTTAGGAGGATTTGGTAGAACTTTCTGTGTTGTTGTAATAGCAGCAGGTTTGTTAAAATTTGTTTGGGTGGGAATCTTGAATTCTGTTTCTGTCTTTTGCTTTTAAACTCCATTGAAATCTCATATAATTTTGCCTGCCTACAAGCTTCAGTGACTTCTTTAGGGTTAAGAGCTTTGACCCTATGTTTCAACTCCTCCTTCAATCCACTTATGAAAATGGACACAAAAAATTCCTCCCCCAAGGTTGGATTTTGCATTAGAATGAAAGGTTTCAACTCTTCAAACCTCACTTCGTATTCTTCCACTGTTCCTTTTTAAATTAGCTTGCTAAATTCTTCTATGGCATCTGCATACTGCATATCACCAAATCGATGACATAAGTCTGCTTCGAACTAATGCCAATGTACTCGATTTTTTTGCATGATATAACCATCAAACCATGATTCAACTTTTCCCTCTAAATACATTACAGCTAACTCAACTCTTTGCTTATTAGGAATTCCAAAGAGATGAAAGAACTTATGACATTTTTGCACCCAACCCCTTGGATTAGTTCCATCAAAATTCTTTAGCTCTACTTTAGGCTTAGGAAGTATAAATCCAGTGTTTCCTACTGCCCCTCCCTGAACCATTTTGGCCCCCATTATTATCCTTTGTTTGATTTTCTATCCTCATATTTGATTGATCCATTTGTGACTCATAGGGTTTAGATTTGAGGATACCTGGTTCATCCATACTGTACGAGAATCTGGACTTATCATTAATCATTGTCACCGTCACCGGTTTCTTTCCATCAACCTTAGTTGGAGTAGGCGTAGCAATCTGCTCCTTTTCTGAGCTTGCCATGTCTTGCTCATTGTTCCTCCCCGTTAATATTCGTAGGACTTGTTCTATATAGGCTTGATTGGTGTTCATCTTCGATTCCAGATTGTTTAGACGGTTGTTTTGCTCCTCCCACCATTTTGGAGGTTTTGTTTCATCACTGACTTGTTCTACCCTTTTTTATAAATCTTCAATCTGCTGCTGAATGGCAGTAAGTTCAACCAACTCTGCCATAACTTGATTCTTTTTTTGTTTTCCCAGTTTGCTAATGCCAGGAAATTAGGCTCTGTATACCAATTGTTATGAACTGAGGAGAATAGAGAAGGAAAAATCGAAGGGATAAAGGTTTTAGAAGAAGAAAAGTAGAGAGATTTCAGAAATCAGAATTTCATTCATTCATCAGGTATCTTTCTCATTCCTTAGTACACAGTTTTTATTTGATTACAATGTACTATAGCAAATAAGAAGAGGACAGCTGTATAACTAATTCTCTAACAAACTCCTTGCAGCTGGATATTTTTCTCCTTTGGGCTGTTAACTGGATCCACGTCTGAGCCCATCTCCTCTGCCCAACTCTTCTTCTGCTACCACTCCAGGTAATTTCCTTCAGCCCTCTCATTAGAGATTGAAATCCCCTAATTCCCTTATCTCTTTTCTCTCAATCCCTAATTCCTCGTCCATTTCCCCCAATTCCCTCGCTTCAATTCTATTCTCCTCGTCCTGATCTTCTCTTGCAATCGTGACAAGATCAAAGCTTTAGAGTTGAACATGTGGTCCATAGTCTCCTTACCCCTTGGCGAGAAACCCATTGGCTACAAATGGGTGTATAAGGTCAAATATAAGTATGATGGAACAATTGAATGATATAAGGCTAATTTTGTGGTGAAAGGCTACAATAAAAAAGAGGGTATTGATTACAATGCTACTCTCTCCCCGATAGCTAAGTTAGTCACAATTAGACTTCTCTTTGCTTTGGCTTTTATTTTTCAGTGGCTTATTTATCAAATGAATGTTCATAACGCTTTTTTACATGGCGATTTAGCTGAGGAAGTGTATATGTCTCTTCCCGAGGGAGTCATTAGCCAGGGTGAATTCTTGAAGGGACTATTTGTAGCCAGGGGAGACTCTAGTTTGTAGGTTTCAAAAGTCTTAATTTGTATGGGTTAAAGGAAGCTTCTCGGCAGTGAAACTTGAAGTTAACTGAAACCTTGCTTTTGGGTGGATATCAAAAAAGTAAGCATTATTATTCGATGTTTACAAAGATGGAAGGGTCCAAAGTTATTACCATGATTGTATACGTAGATGACATATTAATAACTGGGAATCACGAGCAAATGGTACAAGAATTGAAAGTTTTTTTAGCTGCAAATTTAGAATGAAAGACTTGGGGGACCAAAAGTACTTGCTTGGGATAGAAGTCTTGAGGTCTAAAGAAGGGATTCTATTGAGTTAAAGAAAGTATGCACCAGCGTTGATTGAAGACACTGGTTTAGGAGGTGCACAACATGTTGTAACATCTTTAGAACAAAACAAAAAATTCACTACAACAGCCTATGGTAGTGATGGAAAGAAGAAAAATGATGACGAAATGTTAGAAGGCAAAACAACATTTTAAAGACTCATATGCAGATTAATTTACTTAACCCATATAAGGTTGGATATCGCCTATGCAGTACATCTTTTGAGTCAGTTTATGCATGGGCCAAAGCGTTCTCATCTTGAGGCAAGACTCAGACTGGTGAGATATATAAAGAGAAGTCCAGACAACGGAATCATGCTAAAGGCAACGAATGAATATAACTAAATGCTTTTTGCGATTTTGACTGGGCAGCTTGTCCCATGACAAGAATATCAATTTTTGGTTTTTGCATTAAATTGGAAGAGTCTTTGGTTTCTTGGAAGTCAAAGAAAAAAATATATAGTTGCTCGTTCCTCGACAAAGGCGAAGTATAGAAGTATGGCTTCTACAACAGTTGAGATTGTTTTGTTGCATAATTTATTGATTAAACTTGGTGTTAAAGATCTTAAAGCTGTCATGATGGTGTGATAGCAAGGCAGTCTTACAAATAGCAACAAATCTTGTATTTCACAAGCGAACTAAACACATTGAAATAGATTGCCACTTTGTGTGGGAGAAGATTCAAGGAGGGATTATACAGGCAAATCACATAAGCACAACCGATCAACTAGTAGACATTATGACGAAAGCATTGGGAAAGCAACAACATGAATATCTAATGTTTAATTTAAGGCTTAGATATGTTTTTAGCCCCAACTTGAGGGGAGTGTTGAGAATTAGCTAGCTTATTTAAAATTAATTCAGCTTGTTATTTTAAAGTTAGTTAATAGTTTGTTAGCTTCACAGTTTATCAGTTTATATATGTGTATGTACAGATTAATAATGAGATATTGAGAATGAAGTATTTCCTAGAATTTTTTTTTAATAATTTTAGCCTTTTGACTAATATTTTGAGCTTCCTATAAGTACGTCTTATGGCGAATGAATTCACTTATAGGCAATTTCTTAAAAGAAATTAGATTATTCTTGCAATGGTTGACCCATGAAGAGACTATGATATTTTAATATTATTGAACTGATTTTTTTTTTTTTTACATTTATTGATTTGAATGCGACTGAAAGGGATGGTGGTGGCGGTGGTTAGACTTCAAGTATCCTCTAAGGTGGTGAGGTGGTTTTAATTTAGGAATGGCTATTTTATATGGATTCAAAAAGTTTCGACTGATTTAATACTGTCGAATCAATTTTTTATTTTGAGATTTTAGGTTTAAGTTGGGTTGTGTCTGATTCTTTTAGGGTGTATAGGGTTAAATCGAGTTTAGAGCGAAAAACTTCAACTGAACCTAATATAATATTATAATTATCTTTTATATATTTATGAATAATTATAATAATAATAATATTTTTATTTTTTTAGCTAAATTCTTATTTTATTTAATAAAAATAATTATATATATATATATATATTGAGTTGAGTTTGATACAAATTTTAACTTAAAATATTAAATCATATTTTAAATTGAATGAAAACTTTTATTAACTCCAATCATATTATCATTATAAACTTTAACATTCAAATCAAATTTAAGGGGACTAAATATTCAATCTTACCATACCTATTATTTGATGGTGCTGTGCATCACCAAAAGATATTAGGAGAGCCGACGTGACTTTTGAGGACTTCGTGGTGCTATTTAGCTATTAGTCAAAAGATTGAATTTTAGTTATGGTTTTAGTTTCTCTATTACGTTGAAAGTTAAGATTTAATTCTTCTATTTTAATTTGACAAAACTCCATCCTCTATTTTTTTTTTGTTCATATAATGTAAGATTACCAGTGGAAATGTAAGATTATCAGGGAATAAGATTATTGAGAATGTTGTATTTTGTGTTTGGTTGGCTTAGCGGGAATGTAAGATTACCGTGTTTGGTTAAAGGAATAAAAGATTATTGGAATGTATATTTGACCAAATTGTCCTTATTATATATTTGTTTTTTAACAAGTTGGAAAATATTTATATATTTTCTTTAAAAAATTTAAATTCATAAAATTTATATAATTTTTTTACAAAATTAAAAATATAAAAAGGTTTAATAAAAGGGTAAATTTTTATTTTAACCCCTGAACTTCATATAAAATTTTAATTATAGATTTTTTTTTGTAAATCTAAAATAGTTTAAGGATAAATTTGTAATTTAACCTTCGTAGAATTTTTTATTATTCAATGACAGAATAATAATATTTTTGAAAGAAAAAAATTTAAGGGCATTTTAGTCCAAAACACTGGTAATCCAACAATACCTAAGGAAAGGGAGGTAATGACATTTCCGATAATATACCCAAAAAATCCACTATTGGTAATCTTACATTACCAGGAATGGGATTTCCGGGCTAACCAAACGGGAGAATGTGGATTCCATTCCCATGGGAATCACATATTTCCCTATCTAAATGCCCCCTAAAAGTGTCTATGTGAAAGTTTTCTTAAAACAATATTAAGCATAAGATTAATATATATTTTTTATTGGACGGAGGTAGTATAAAACTTGTATTGTTTTTTATATCAATTATAGTAAAACCCTCTGTGCTAGGTTTCTCTCCCTTTTGGCTAGTATTCTTTCTGCCATCTCTGGTAGTTTTTCTGAGTTATTTCAGGTTTCTAGTCTTGCTAGGATTCGTTTTGGTGCATATTTGGGTTTGTTTTGAGGAGTCTTAGTGGGTGAGATCAAGCTGGATTTGGAGGACTTACAATTGGGAGAGGAGGAGGAAGACGCCTTCACCCTCATGCCACTAAGCAATACAACTCCAATCTCTTTAGAAAATTATTTCATGGGCAGATTTCTCTCGACAGGATTGGTAAATTTTCAGGCCATGCGTGTTACATTGGTGAACGTCTGGCGTCTAATAAGGAGTCTAACTGTTATGAAATTGGGTGATAGTCAATACTTGTTTCGACGATTTCACGAAGTGGATTTGCATCGATTGGAATTTGAGGGTCCATGGTACTTTAATTCCACAGTTTGATCTTACATCGATTATAACAGGGGGACGATCAAATGTTATTACCTCTTGATCGGGTTAACTTTTGGGTTATTGTCAATGATCTTCCGGTGGGTTACATATCAAAACAGGTTGCGAAGCAGTTCGTGAACTTTATTAGTACATCTGTTGAGTTTGATGCAAGTGTGGTCTCTCTGGGTTATCGTGGGTCTATCCGAATTAGAGTGGAAATTGACATTCACAAGCCTTAGAAAATGAAGAAAAAGCTCACTCTATATTCAATTGGCTAGAATCCGTTACTTGAATGAAACTAGATCTTGCGGAATCATATTGAATATTTGACGATATATTCCGTACCTTTCTAAAAAAATCGATCCTTGTTTACCAACCATACATTGTCTAACCAAATCCAATTCTCTCTCGATATGTTCCTCAAAAAATCCGATTTGTGCGGATTCTTCCCCCAACTAACGAAGAGATCTTGGCGGAATTGCCACATATAAAATTGAGCACAATTTTGCAAAGAAATAGCCCACTTATTTTCCTCTAATACCTAGGCTTCAAAGACTTTTTATGTCTTCAAAGACTTTTTATGTCTTCAAAGACTACAGAGTCTATAAGGTGGCATCATGATGGGCGAACTGTTGATGGATTATTAAGGCATACTGCAGATTGTTTAGCTTGGAAGTCATTTGACGAAAAATCTCCATGTTTTGTTAGAGATCCCCGAAATGTCATGCTCGATCTTGCATCTGATGGGTTTAATCCTTTTAAAATCATGAGTACATATAATACTTGGCCT